CCAATCCTTGAATCATCTTTGTTGCCCTTCGCTGGACTCTTTCTAGTAGTTCCCTGTCCCTCTTGAACTGGGGAGGATGAGGATGTTTGGCCTCAGGGAGCAATGTACCGCAACGTTTCTGCAAATGAGGGCTGGAAAGGGGAGATTTTGGACAAGCGTATTGAGTGGGATTTCTCCAGTCAGCAGGGCTGACCTCCTCCCTTCTCGAATAAAGAAGGAGAAAGCACTGTGACAATGTGAAAGCCTGTTCCTGAGCCAGGACCTTGGCTGGGAATTACGGCCGAAGCATCATTTTTCACTGGTCTTCCAAGTGCTTCTAGAGGTTATGGTGTTGTGTTAAGATGCAATCGCCTGCCTTGGTATTTTCTCTCCGAGGCTCGGGAGGAGGGCATTTCTCCGAGTTGCTGGAATCGTGCTGGACCAGGCCCAAAACAAATGAGATTGAACTTAACCCATCAGCGGGGAGCCTGGTGAGATCGAAGCCCTGGGCTCTGAAAGCAGATGCTTGGGGGCAGCTTCTGTGGGTAAACTCTGGTCTTTGGGCTCCTTTGTCTTCCCCCACTTGTTTTTCCTATGTATAGATACAGCTGAGAAGCTACCTCTGTTTCAGCTTGTTTAAAGAAAAAAGGAAGATCATTCATCCAGGCCTGGGCTTTAAAAGAGAAAACAAAATCTCTGGTTAGTGGCATTGTCGGGAAAGTTTTTTACAAGCCCATTTAGGTTCAAGATGGGGTCAAAAGCTTTGTTTTGGCTATTCAACCCATCCATCCAGAATGCCCCAGGTCCTTTATCCAAAACTGAGGGAAGCTTGGGGACTTTTGAATAAGATTTTGGTTTTTATTTTCTTTTCTTTATTTCAGGCTGGGTGGGATGGAGACAGCTATGGAAAGGTATATCTCCTGGTAGATTCACATGGTTTTTTTTCAAAATTCAGGAGTGGGTGGAAGGAAAGGGAGATTCCCAGGTCTCAATGCAGGAGGTAGAAGAGTTTTGCTCTCTGTTTGAATGAGGTAAATTTAACTGTTGGGTGCCTTGTACATTTGAGGCGTGAATGTCCTCAATGGTTAACTGGCATCAGAGTGGACCCGTGTTCCTTTTCTTGGCCATTTTAATGGGCTCTCAGCACGAGGTGGCACAGATGCACTGCACATCCACCACCGTGCTTCTGCAGACCCCCCCCCATCCTCCCCAGGTGAACCTCCGGGCAACGGCCTTTCCATCTACCGGTAGAGCTGAGTAAGGTTGTCAAATACCCTCCCCTCTTCTAATGTCAACACGCGTGTATTTGAACCTTTGCTCTGAATATTTAATGCATTTACTAATACATTTATGAGGAGTCATTGGGAGGTTTCCTGGCGGAGGGGCCCCGGCTCGCAGGGGCAATAACAACGCCTTTGGTTCAGCGTTAGGCAAACACGCTCAGTGTGGTTGCAGACTTCGGCTTCGGTAGAGGCTTTCAAAGGTTTGTAAATATTTACACACACTCCCGAATGAGGGGGAGGAAAGGAGGG